GGGTTTGGGTGGGAGAGGGACTTGGAACAAAGAAGGAAATCCGACTTTGTCGCGTGTATACATTGAACTTGGTTTTTATTCCCTACATGCACGCGTACCGTAGACCTCATCTTCTTTATTCCACCATTAAAGACAGGTTTCACGATTTCCTGCATCTGTCATATCTCTCAAATTTTATCTTTCTTTCTTTTCTTCTGTAAATCTTCCTTCTCCTTTTTGCCCTATCTTCTAGGGTTCTTCGTGTTTCATGAATCTCACTCTTCCTTCTCTATTCAACACCGTCGTCTTTGCTCTGTTCATCTCCGTCGTCTTCGTCTTCTTCGCTCACTTTTTGGGGTTTCTTCAATCGGTGTTTGAATTATGTCTGGGATCTTCAGATTCAGTGGTATGTTCCTGAATTCCTTTGATTTTAGAATCGCCGATTTACTTTCTATTTTCTCTCATACCACTGTTGATCCTTTAGCTTAATTTTCGATTTCTAAGATCTGAATTCGGGAATCTGTATGGTTAGTTTCGAACATCCTAGGGTTTGATCTGCTTAGTCTCTCCCTGGTTCCATTTCGTAGTTGTGCTCTGTACATTGAGGTCGCTTTTAGTGTGAAAGATTGAGATTTCGATTTCGATTGAGAATAATCGGGTTTTTTGCTTGTTTGATTATAGGTGATGAAGATTTTTTCCCTAAGGGATCGATGCATCTATCACCAGGGAGCTGTCCTGGTGTGTATTTTCCAGCACGCAAGAGATTACGTATTGCTGCACCGTCAGTTTTCAGCGGTTTTGAGCAAAAGCAAACTTCAATCGAAGTATTGCCAGATGAGTGCCTATTTGAGATCCTTAGACGCTTGCCTTCTGGTCAGGAAAGGAGTGCATGTGCTTGTGTCTCCAAGCACTGGCTTAACCTTTTGAGTAGTATCACTAGGGATGAAGTGAATGAGTCAAATCAAGATGTGGAGGGTGAAGGGTTTTTGTCAAGAAGTTTGGAAGGCAAGAAAGCTACAGATTTGAGGCTGGCAGCGATCTCGGTTGGTGCATCGACACGCGGTGGGTTGGGAAAGCTTCAAATCCGTGGGAGTGGTTTTGATAGCAAAGTGACAGACGCTGGGCTTGGATCAATTGCACATGGTTGTCCATCTCTTAGGGTTCTGTCTCTCTGGAACTTGCCTGCAGTTGGTGATATGGGTCTGTCTGAGATCGCAAGGTCATGCCCGATGATCGAAAAACTTGATCTTTCACGTTGCCCAGGAATAACTGACAACGCTTTGGTTACAATCGCTGAGAACTGCGTGAATCTGAGTGAGCTGACAATCGACTCGTGTTCTGGTGTTGGAAACGAGGGTTTAAGGGCTATTGCACGACGCTGTGTCAACCTGAGATCTATCTCTATCAGGAGCTGCCCACGCATTGGAGACGAAGGAGTTGCTTTCCTCTTGGCCCAAGCTGGTTCTTACTTGACAAAAGTGAAACTTCAGATGCTGAACATAACCGGTCTATCTCTTTCCGTTCTTGGCCACTATGGAGCAGCAATTACCGATCTTGTGCTTCATGGGCTTCAAGGTGTGAACGAGAAAGGCTTCTGGGTCATGGGAAATGCAAAAGGGCTGAAGAAACTGAAGTCCCTCTCAGTAATGTCGTGCCGAGGCATGACGGATATTGGGCTCGAAGCTGTTGGAAACGGTTGCCCTGATCTGAAGCACGTCTCTCTGAGCAAGTGCTTGCTTGTTTCTGGCAAAGGACTCGTCGCTTTGGCCAAATCTGCATTGTCGCTGGAAAGTTTGAAACTTGAGGAATGCCACAGGATCAACCAGTTTGGTTTTTTGGGTTTTCTCATGAACTGTGGCTTAAAGTTGAAGGTTTTCTCTTTGGCAAACTGTCTGGGAGTCCGGGACTTCAACCCAGAATCACCTCTGCCATCAACCAGTTGCAGCTCTTTACGTTCTCTGTCAATCCATAACTGCCCTGGGTTTGGGGATGCAAGTCTCGCTTTATTGGGAAAGTTCTGTCATCAGCTTCAGGATGTTGAACTCTGTGGACTGAATGGAGTGACGGATGCAGGTGTGCTCGAGTTGCTTCAGAGCAACAATGTTGGTCTAGTGAAGGTGAATCTGAGCGGATGTATCAATGTTTCAGACAACACAGTCTCTGCAGTTTCCGTGTGCCACGGACACACATTGGAGTCACTTAACCTTGACGGCTGCAAGAACATCACTGATGCAAGCCTCGTCGCAGTGGCCAAGAACTGCTACTCAGTCAATGACCTTGACATCTCAAATACTTTGGTCTCAGATCACGGAATCAAGGCTTTGGCATCTTCTCCCAACCATCTGAATCTTCAGGTTCTTTCTGTTGGCGGCTGCTCAGCGATTACAGACAAAAGCAAGGCGTGCATACAAAAACTCGGCCGCACGCTCTTGGGATTAAACATCCAACGCTGCGGTAGAATCAGCAGCAGCACTGTGGACACCCTGCTAGAACATCTATGGAGGTGCGATATCCTTTACTAGATCCCAAAAAAGAATACCACGTTTTTTTTTCTGCAAAACCTTAGTACCAGTCGAGTCTTTTTAGGTTTTGGTCGCAAACCCCATAGATTTCACCTAGAATTCGGTTTCTTTCCCAGGACACAGCAGTTGTTTTTTTCAAATTTTTAGCTGGTTCCTTCTAAATAAGGGAGCCTGTTTCTACAACTGTTGTGTTCCTGGGAATCCTGTGAGTGAGTTCTGGTAATCTAGTTAGGGTTTAAGTCTTGACCGTCTTTTTGGAGTTGTTTGCCTCTCTCTCTATGTATGTATGTCCAGTCAAGTTGTTGTGGGAGTCCTTTGTTCTCTGGTTTAGGTTGGTGATGGTGCCTTTTGTGTCCTTCCCCTGTAGAGCTTTTGGCAATGGCGGTGTAACTTCTTATACGCCATTACAGCTCTTCGGAGTTGTTTTTTTTTTATGTGTTTGTCTTCTGCCAAAAGCTCTGTTTTTCCACTTTTTTTTTTGTTGAAGGCACCATCTGTATCATTAATCAT